TCTCTTTGTCTTCTGATTATGCTCACGGCACATAGATAGACAAGCACCACCTTGGGATTTCAGCCACCTCTTGGCATTTGGGTCCACCACGTGTTTACTGAGAAACCAGAATACCCACTGAGAAAATGAGCAGAAGCCATGCAATGTGGTTTTTTCTATAAAGTCGTGCAACACAGGAAAATGTTTGTGAGAGCGTAAGGAACACGAATGGTGCTCATTGAAGCTGTGTGGTGCACAGACCCACTCACCGCCAGCTGAAGGACAGAGGCAGAAAGGAGACTCTGAGGGAGGGCGTCAACCACATGCTCCCTAATGGTTTATTTCACTCTCTCTTTTTTGGATCTGTGACAATTGAACTTACTAAGTTCTAGTTTTTGTCTTGCCTTTGGACTTGCATGGAGTTTAAGAACCTATAACCAGTAGGTGCTGAGGACTTTTAAATAGTTCATCTTCTACAGTGTTTCTCAGGCTATGGGTGAGAGTCACAGAGGATTTCCTAAGGGAAGGGACCGTGGCTTCCAGAGCTTTGGACTGTGATTGCTGGCTCACCTAAGTGGGGAGGGGTGTGTGTGGGGGGGAGAAATGTGCAAGCCCCTCTCCCTGCTGCGATGCAATGACTAATCCTTATAGAACCCGACCCATTAAGTGTTCTGCTAAGTACCCCAAAACCTAAATGTTCAAAACCTGATTTTGGTGACAACAAAATCAACAAAGAAATTGACCTTTAGCCAGGCCCAGCGTTAAGACAGCTTGCACTGTGTATGCCAGTAAATGCAGAAGCATTTAGGTTGCTCAGTGGCAAATGCTTTCTTTCAAGTTGATTTTAAATATTTTCTACTTTTTCAACACATAATTCAGCCTTGCTTTAAGTGGATGCTTAGCAAATTATCGGGGGTGGGAATGGAGATAGGATTTGAAGAACTCCCTCACTTTTTAAGGCAAAGAAGTAATTCCAAAATAATAATAATAATAATAATAATAATAATAATAATACGTAATAATAGATTTTTTAAAATATATTTTATTGATTTTTTACAGCGAGGAAAGGAGAGGGATGGAGAGTTAGAAACATTGAAGAGAGAGACATCAATCAGCTGCTTCCTGCACGCCCCCTACTGGGGATGTGCCCACAACCAAGGTACATGCCCTTGACCAGAATTGAACCTGGGACCCTGCAGTCGGTAGTTCACGCTCTATCCACTGAGCCAAACTGGTCAGGGAAATAATAAATTTTTACTAGTCATTTACCATTTAGGCTCCTGCAGAACAGCAGCCTTCTGCTTATATGCTGGGAATAGACCTACTCCAGCCCACTCCCCTCAGCTGCCCCGTTCCTGGGCCTTTATGTGCTGCGGTTGCACAGAACTCATGGCCTAGGAGCCTCTCCCTATTCCCTGTCAGCTTCACTCTACCGTGCTATCAGCTGAAAAGCGGACTGTGTTGTAGAAATTGTTTGAAACTACAAATTACATGTAGACACATGACAAAAAATGAGCCTTACTAATGATGAAAGAAATGCAAATTAACACCAATGAGAAGTTATTTTCACGTACTTAATAGTAAAAAAGATAAGATTGTAATAACCAGAAATGGGAAAGGCTCAGCAAGGTCAGCTGTCCTCTGCACCACCTGAGGGAAGATAAAGGGGAGGGGCTAATCTAAGGTCAGATTTGACAATGGGAATAACATAATGCCCCTGCTCTGCCACTCATTCCTTTTCTAAGGATTCATTCTAAGTAATAATCTGACACATGCTTAGTGTTTGTGAACAATAATTTTCCCAAAGTGCTTTAGAATGTAATCTACATAGATGTCCAACAGTGGTTAAGTAAATCATGGACATATGATAGAATACAAATCCATTAAAATTATGCTCTTAAGGAATTTTTCATTATATTGAAAGAAGTAAAACAGAGTGGCTAACTGAATGGGGTTTATGATCACACTTCTTGGGTTTGAATTCTTTCCCCCCTCTACTTACAAGCTGTGTGATTTGGGAGAGTTGTTTAATCTCTCTGTGCCTCAGTTTCCTTATATATGTAAAAGGGAAAAATAAAGGTGGTTATAGAGTTAATGAAAGAATTCATTTGGCATGTTTTGCAGAGTGCTTGACACAACATAAATGCCCAATCGATGTTAGACAAATTAACTTTTGTGCCTCAGTTTCCTCCTTTGTAAAATAGGAATGAGGGTAGTCCTACCTCAAAGGAGTGCTGGTGAAGCTTACGTGAGTTTATGTCTACAACACACTTAGTATGAACCTAGAACATAGTAGCAGCTATGTTTAGTTGTTTGTGCTACAAGTGGTAAGAAATGTTCTCATAAAACAGATGCCTAGACAGTGGTTGGCAAACTGAGGCTTGCGAGCCACATGCGGCTCTTTGGCCCCTTGAGTGTGGCTCTTTCACAAAATACCGACTTCTGCACATGGGCCACAAAGTTTCAATCGCACTGTATGTGCGCGCCCACACGTGGTATTTTGTGGAAGAGCCACACTCAAGGGGCCAAAGAGCCGCATGTGGCTTGCAAACTGCAGTTTGCCAACCACTGGCCTAGTAGAATGCTAAGGTATTTGAAAATCCACAGCCTTGCACACACACAGACTAGAAGATATCAAAATAACTGTCTCTTGGTAGAAAGGTTGTAAGTAGTGTTTGGTAATTTACTTTCCCATATTTTTCCAAAATTTCAACAATGAATACATATTACTTTTATAATTTAAAAAGCAAACAATAGTTTTAGAGTTGAAACTTTTTCTGCTTGACCTATGGTTAATCAAAATAATTGAATGCCCCAAAATTCCTTTCAGTTAATGGTTTTTCTGTATTAAATTCCTAATTTCTGGTGGTTTGTAAGCAGTCACTTAATATTTCTGTACAGTATAATTGTGTTCAGATTTTTTCTTCAGCTGCATTTGAACAGTGATCTTATTTTATTTTATTTATTTTTTAATCCTCACTCAAGGATATTTTCCCATTGATTTTTAGGGAGAATGGAAGAGAGAAGGAAAGACAGAGAGAAATATCGATGTGAGAGAAACACATCGATTGGTTGCCTCCTGCATGAGTCCCGACAAGGGCCAGGGCCAGAGAGGAGCCTACAACCTAGGTATGTGCCCTTGACCGGAATCCAACCCAGGACCCCTTGGTCTGTAGGCCAACACTTTATTCACTGAGCCAAACCGGCTAGGGCTGAACAGTGTTTTTAAACTTTGGATGCATGGTAGACTCATTTGAGGAGATAGTAAAATATACTGGTCTTGGACTCCTCACTAAACTGATTCGATCCAAATATAAGGGAGTGGGCCCTGGGCATTGACAGTTTTCAAAGGCTGTCAATGAAATTCTAATGTACAGCCAGGTGGTGAACAGCAACCTGGAGCTAGGCTGGCATTTATGCCAGACTGTGCTACCATTTCCTGCCTGGTAGATAGTTCTGCCCATGAACAGAGCCCCCTCTTAGTCTCAGAGTCAGCCCTGGAAGTATTTCTCACATGTCTGAAGGAAAGGCTCCCCTGGAGTGCTTGTTAAAAATATTTGGTTGAAGCATCATCCTGTACACCAGAAGGTTGTGGGTTCAATTCCAGTTCAGGTCACATGCCTAGGTTGCAGATTTAATCCCTGGTCAGGGCGCATATAGGAGGCAACTGATAGATATTTCTTTTTCATATTGATGCTTTGCTCTCCCTTGTTTTCTCTCTCTAAAAGTCAATGAAAACATATCCTCCAATAAGGATTTTAAAATACACACCGCCGCCTGAATCCTAACCTGTTGACTTCCAGGGGGAGAGACTTGGTAATGTGTGTCTTTACTGAGCCCACATGAGGGAAGTGTGGGAAGTCTAGAGCTGTGGTTCTGTCTCAGCCACGCACTGGGAATCCCTGGGGGACCTGGAAAAACGCTGATGCCTAGTCCCCCTCAGGCCTCCACCATTCTAACGTGGTGGAGCTGGGATACTGCCTCAGAAACTATGAAGTCCCTCCAGAATCTAACACACAGTCATGGTTGACAACCACAAGCAGTGATGATTCTCAGAGTGGGGTGCTGGGACCAACAGCGCCAGCATCACCTGGGGCCCATTAGAAATGATCACTATGGTCCACATATGAGGGAGAGCATGTGGTGTCTGCCTTTTTCTAACTAATTTCACTTAGCATTATACCCTTAAGATTCATTCAGGTTGTCCCAAATGAAACATTTTATTTTTCTTTTATAGCTCGGTAGTATTCCAATGTTTCTATATACAAACAAGAGAAAACAAAAACCAACTGATAGATACAGAGAACAGGTCTGTGGTTACCAGAAGAGAAGAGGGTTGGGGGTGAGCCAAAGGTGGGAAGGGGATCAATCAATTATATGGCAATGGATAGTGATTAAACTTTTGGAAGTGATAGCTTTGTAGTGTATATAGATGTCAAATTATAATGTTATACACCTGAAACTTAAATAATAATTAAAAATGTACCTTGTGGCACCTCATCAGGCCTGCTAAATCAGAAACTGAGGATGGGACTCAGAAGCTTGTGTCTTAGTAACCCTCTTGGATTCCTGTTACACATTGAAGTTTAAGAACCACTGCGACAGGGTGGGGCTGTGAAGAGCAGGTTCTCAGACTTGTTCACCCAGAACTCAGTGGTCTGGACTGAGCTGGGAATGGACTCCCAGTGGCCCAAGACCACACTTGAGAATCAATGCCCTCAGGTTTATCCTTATTCCCTTGGGCATTCAAAGTTATAAGGGCCTTGACATCTTTCAAGTATAACCAGTGTCCTGATGTCTGTGGGCAGCCTGTTGCTGTCATTCCTAGGCCCTTGGATGGCAAAACATGTGACTGCCTTCCAGCCATAATTAGTGGGATGTGTTTTCTTTCAAGTTGACAAGTACTCTAGCGGGGAATCTATTTTTCAAAAGTACTGTTCCACATTTGACTTGGATCACCAGTCACAGAAGCAGTGTGTGCTTCCTCCCTTGGTGTAACTTCCGTGCCTCTTATTTTATAGGTTTTATCATCAGCCCAGGCTGGTGTGGTCCTCTCAGCACCAAAGTGGTCACAACCATGCCTATTGGAGAAGAGGACAGGAGGTCGGTGGCTTGCTGGCGCCGAGAGACCGAGAAGACCTGGAGGTCAGAGAAGTGGCCCAAGCCCACAGTCTGCCCATCCACATGAGAGAGGGTTCATGGGAAGTTGGAGGAAGGACAGAGAATGTGATGAAGAAGGTGGTTTGGGAAGAAGAGCTGAGAATGGGGGGCCCTGACAAGTGGCAGGATGTAAGCCTGGAAAGCTGGAACCAGACAAGGAAATTAGGAAGACAGATGTCTGATGGTGATGGGGAGAAACTGTTTCAAGATCTGTACCCATTCATGCGAGGAGAACAGGTGTTGAATTCTCAAAGCAAAGGGAAATCCCAGTCATTGCCTAGAGTTCTCTCCCCTAAGAGCCTGAGTTGCATGGAAATTCCGTTAAGTGATGGGTATTTACCAGATGTTTCTAGAATGCCATTTTACCCTCCAGATTGTACACCGAATTTGGAATCCACAAGGAACCCTGAGAAGGGTGGCTCCTCTATCCCCTTACCATGGCCAAAATTTGGGAAACCCCTCAAGCCTCCCTCCTATGACTCCCACCAACACTCCAGGGCGGGAGTGGAAAACAGCGACCATCTGGACAGCCAACAGGCAGACCTGAGTGTTTCCTACAGGCAGGAGGTCTGCCTGCCCGACTCTGGTTTGGAGCCTCCAGTGTACGTGCCTCCACCGTCGTATAGGTCACCACCCCAGCACATCACAAACCCCTATGCGGAGGATGTGGCCCCCAGGCATGTGTATGATGGTCGCCGTCATCCAATTGAGGAGGCTGCTGCCAGCTTTCAGCTTCCTTCTGGTTCCCTTGGGACTGGAAATGAGTTCCTGAAACAGCCCCATCCCATCACTGCTTACGATGGCTCTGTTCAGTATATTCCCTTTGACGATCCTCGGATCCGACATATTAAACTGGCCCAACCCCAGGGTTTCTGTGACAAAACAAAGGTAGATGAGAAATTGTATAGCTCTGGTCCAGTCTCTACCCCAGAGCCAGCTCATGGAAGCATGCATCATGATGGTGCCGTTTTAAACCCACAGAGCATCATGCCCGCATCAGAGAGAGAGAGAGGCTCTGTCCGTGCCGATCCCAGTCCCCCGTGGCTGTGGGGCCAGCTCCCCAGGGATGGAGAAAATGGTGGCTTTCCTGACCAGAGAGACCACTGTGTTATGAGAGGACAGTGGCCTGATGTGAGAGGCAGCCAACATGGACAAGCAGAAAGCCAAGTCTCCTCCCCAAACCCACAGGGCGAGAGTACCTGTGAAACCCAAACCAAGCTCAAAAAGTTTGAAACTGGGATTAAGACCAAGAAAAGTTCAAAGAAAAAAATGAACGAGACGATATTTTGTTTGGTTTCTATCCCAGTGAAATCAGAATCACATCTGCCAGATATAGATAGGAACAACAATGACTTAAAACAGAGTGCTGATAAGAAGCATGGGCTTGATAAGAGCCCAGCTCTGCAAGAACAAAGTCTGCTGAGCATGTCTTCCACCGACCTGGAGCTGCAAGCTCTCACAGGAAGCATGGCTGGGAGAACAGAGTTTCAAAAACAAGATCTGGGGGGACCAGAAGAAGACAAACAAACAGATGACCTCAGATTCATTCACCCCATGAAACACAGAGTACTCCAGTATTCTGGCTCGTGGCCAGGGCACCAGTACAAAGATCAGCAAACACAAACCACTTTCACGGAAGAATCCAAAAGCCCGCAGCCCCTCCCTGCTAAGTCAGGAGGGTCACCTAATGCAGTGCTGACTCCAAATTTTCTGGACCCTCCTGCCTCCGAAGCTCAGATGCACACAACATTAGCTTCCAGTGACCAGAACCAGAAGCCAAATGTTCATCATCTAAAAGGTCAAGTGTCCCTCAACCCTTCTAGCTACAGTGCTTTTTCAAGGACTTCCTTACTCAGAAACCAGGCACCTATGCCAACAGTGGGCCAGAGTCAGCCCTGCATGGATGACCGTGGACGTGGACCCAGTCCTGTGCCCAGAGGCGAGGTGGTGAAGGGGGCAACCACCGGTCCATGCAATAGTCAACAGCTGTTTGGTCAATTTCTTTTAAAGCCAGTTAGCCGTCGTCCATGGGATTTGATAAGTCAGTTAGAAAGTTTTAATAAGGAGCTTCAGGAAGAGGAAGAGAGCAGTCAGAGCAGCAGTAGCAATGAGAGCAGTGAGACAGGATGGCAGCCAGAAGGCCATGCTGGCTGCACACTCAGGAATCTGGGCTTCACTGGGGAGAGCCAGGAAAGAAGAGGGAAGGAACCGCCAAGGGGGGTGGTGCCGGAGGAGCCTGTGTTTAGGTCGGGAAGAGTTAAGAGTAAGTCTGAGAGTTGGAGTGAGGAGCAGAAGCCTGCCACCTGCCACCAGGGTGCTCGTCCTCAGTGCCTGGGCCCCTTGCAGGTGGAGGACAGCAGAGGTGAAGTGTTGCTGTCAACACGGGGAAGCTTGATTACACAGAGGAGAAACCAAGATGTTGGGACAAGAATAAAAGAGCTAGCAGTCAGCCCAAGACCTGTGAAAAGAATAACATCTTCTAGGTCACGTGATACTGTGTCCTCATCTGCTTCAGCTGAACTGAGAGAGCCCCAGGAAGGGCAGGAGCTCCTCAGTGCTGTAAAGTCTGTGGAGCCCAGCAAAGCAGCCCCTCCCACACCTGGTGATGGGGAGGAGAGGAGCATGGTGGGCCCCCTCTCTCTTGCCAGCAAACCTTTCGGACTCTCGGTACCAGACTTGAGGTCCGTGGGGCTGACTCCAGCACAAGAGTGGAGTGCCAGTAAGTTAGATGGGTCTTCAGGTGACAAGAGTGCAATAGAAATCCCCCCAAATGAGTCCCTTCAAATGAGGGCTGCGAGGATACTGGGCATCGAGGTGGCCGTGGAGTCCCTGTTGCCGGGCGCCAGGAGAACAGGACATAACCAGCCCTCTGAGCCTGATGGCAGTGCCCGAAGGTTGGTGTCCCCTAGGGAGGAACCAGTGTCCAGTCCAGCACAGCCGGATGAGCCCACAGTTTCCAGTGATGCCTTTTATGGCAGGAGAAAGTGTGGCTGGACCAAAAGCCCTCTGTTCGTAGGGGAAAGGGACAGTGCCCCGCAGGCTCCAAGGACTTCTGAACTCTCTGGTGTGGACAGGGTCGTCCCCAGCAAGGCCACTGACCCAGAGTCTCAGCCCAGTGACTTGGAGTCCTTCAATCACAAGGGCATGGGGACAGAACCACCCTTCAGGTCCACTTTGTTCCATTTTATAGAAAGGGCTCCAAGTGTGGCAGGCTCAGAAAAGAGGCTCAGAAGTACTTCCAGAGTGATTGAAAGTTTACAAGAGAAACTGGCTTCCCCCCCAAGGCGAGCCGACACTGACCGCTTGATGAGGATGAAAGAGGTGAGCTCCATGTCTCGGATGAGGCTCCTGAGCTCCCGGAGCACTGACTCCGTGGAGGATGCTGAGGAACTAAAGGCTGAGAGGGGCCCAGGAGCTCAGCCAAGAGGCCTGGTGTCTCTGACCACTGGGGACCTGGCCCGGAAGGTGGGAAATACATTCTCTATCTCCAAGAGCGCACTTTCACTGGAAGAAAATGGGCATCTGGAACCAGGAAGGGAGAAGAACTTGGATCGGGACTTCTGGTGCCCAGGTGAGGAGTCAGGCAAGTGGCAGGTGTTTGTTTGTTTGTTTTTTAATTCTCACAGGAGGATATGTTTAGAGAGAGGAAGAGAGGGAGAAACATTGATGTGGGAGAGAAACACCGATGGAAGTGTCACTTGGTTGCCTCCTACACATGCCCTGACCAGAGATGGAACCCGCAACCCTTTTGGTGTATGGGCTGATGCTCCACCCAACTGAGCCACCTGGGCAGGGCAGGCATTCAGTATTAACTTGGAATCCTCGGAGCATGAAAAAATACTAGGTTGATGGATAATGAAAATTTGCATATTCAGAAAAGATCAAATTGACCCTGAAAATTATTATACCAGAAGATTTTACAAAATATTATCTAGAAGTTTCCTGAAAAATCAAGATCTTGTAGTATATTTTAAATGACTGTCTTTATAGAAATTATATAAACTATTATATCAAATTATCCATATAAACAACATACTGGGCCCCTTACTGTGATGAGGTGAGTCAATAAAGTATTCTAAAGTTGGTGCAGACACCTTGAAAAATCTTATAAGAGACCATAGCATTTGTGCTCTATACTCTCTCCTAAAATAATAGGCATTCACCCAAATAATCCTCATTGTTCTTTATTAACCTTGAAAGAAAAGATATGCAAGTTGATTAAATAAACTACTGCCCCACATTTCACCTTCCAAATTCCTTGCCCTTCTTCCCATTTTTAATCTGTTTTCACTACCACACCATTTATGAAACTTTAGTAAAATTCACAGTTTTCACTTTCTCAACACCCACTCCTAAAAGTCCACTCATTAACTCTGTTTCTTTAAAGGCCCCTAAGTTCTGATTTTGAAATCCCAGGCGACTCAGTTTGGGCAACAGCATTCTGCAGGCGTTTGGGCCTCTCCATCCTTTCACCTTAAGGTATCTTGAGAGCCTTCTCTGTTTCATAAAGCCAGGGCAGGTCCCCAATGACAGCAACAGTGATTTTCCTCAAACACAATTTCATCATCTCAACTATGACACAAACAGGACAGGAGAACTCTTGGCATCGCTGTTTCAGACACTTTCTTCAGGAGCTGGGGATTATCAATTATGTATTTAAAAATGATCAGATGAGTTGAGGTAGTTATCCAAAGGTCTGCATCATAAACCACAGACTTGGGGAACCTTAACTCATTAATTCAGACCTTTTCACAGTAAGCTGAAACTGTACCCCCTGAGATGAGTGTTACCCCACTACCCTAGGACCCCAATCTGACCTTCTGAGCCAGGCCCCTCCTCCTTCCAGTTTGCCCCAGCAGGGTGGTTCCCCACCCTGCTTCTCCATTTTTTTATTTTGAAATCCAAGGGTGTATTTATTTATTTACTTTTCCATAAGGAGAGATGTCATCTAAACATCTCCCTTTTCAGAGTTCAAAATGTCAGTATTTCTTTCAGCTTCTTCTTGTTTTGAAATAGGTTTGAACCTAACCGCTCCTTTTTTTCTTTTTTCTTTTTTTATTCTGGGCCAGCTTTACCTTGAGGCTTGGCTCCAGCTCTTAGACCTCCACCCGGCTGAAAGTAGGTTTCTGGCCTTTGCTTACAATGTTGTGAGTCCGGCGGTATTCATTACAATGTTTCTTTTTTTTTTTTTTTTAAATATATTTTATTGATTTTTCACAGAGAGGAAGGGAGAGAGATAGAAAGTTAGAAACATCGATGAGAGAGAAACATCGATCAGCTGCCTCCTGCACATCTCCCACTGGGGATGTGCCCGCAACCCAGGTACATGCCCTTGACCGGAATCGAACCTGGGACCTTTCAGTCCGCAGGCCGACGCTCTATCCACTGAGCCAAACCGGTTTCGGCCGTTACAATGTTTCTTAAACTGCAGGCTCAGAGGACAATGTTTCTTAAACTGCAGGCTCAGAGGCCGGCAGCCGCAGGCGGGGAACGTTGGTTTCCTCTGTCACTGAGGCAAGCAAGCCTCATGTTAGTTTCAAGCTGCCTGGCTGCCGGCCGCCATCTTGGCTGAGAGTTAATTTGCATATCTCGCTGATTAGCCAATGAAAAGGGTAGCGGTCGTACGCCAATTACCATGTTTCTCTTTTATTAGTGTAGATTTTTCTTTTTTTAAAAATTAAATCTTTATTGTTCAGATTATTACAGTTGTTCCTCTTTTTTCCCCTCCTCCACCTGGTTCCCACCTCACCCTCCGCCCTCACCCCCAACCCCCACTGTCCTCATCCATAGGTGCACGATTTTTGTCCAGTCTCTTCCCGCATCCCCCACACCCTCCCTCCCCCCCCCGCAAGAATAGTCAGTCCACTCCCTTTCAATGCCCCTGATTCTATTATAATCACCAGTTTATTCTGTTCATCAGATTATTTATTCACTTGATTTTTAGATTCACTTGTTGATAGATGTGTATTTGTTGTTCATAATTTGTATCTTTACCTTTTTCTTTTTCTCCCTCTTCTTAAAGGATACCTTTCAGCATTTCATATAATACTGGTTTGGTGGTGATGAACTCCTTTAGCTTTTCCTTATCTGTGAAGCTCTTTATCTGACCTTCAATTCTGAATGATAGCTTTGCTGGATAAAGTAATCTTGGTTGTAGGTTCTTGGCATTCATCACTTTGAATATTTCTTGCCACTCCCTTCTGGCCTGCAAAGTTTCTGTTGAGAAATCAGCTGACAGTCGTATGGGTATTCCCTTGTAGGTAACTGAGTTTCTTTCTCTTGCTGCTTTTAAGATTCTCTCTTTGTCTTTTGCTCTTGGCATTGTAATTTTGATGTGTCTTAGTGTGGTCCTCTTTGGATTCCTTTTGTTTGGGGTTCTCTGCACTTCCTGGACTTGTAAGTCTATTTCTTTCACCAGGTAGGGGAAGTTTTCTGTCATTATTTCTTCAAATAGGTTTTCAATATCTTGCCCTCTCTCATCTTCTGGCACCCCTATAATTCTGATGTTGGTATGCTTGAAGCTGTCCCAGAGGCTCCTTACACTATCTTCGTATTTTTGGATTCTTTTTTCATTTTGCTTTTCCAGTTGGGTGCTTTTTGCTTCTTCATATTTCAAATCTTTAACTTGATTCTTGCGATCCTCTAGTCTGCTGTTGGAACTCTGCATAATATCCTTTATTTCAGTCAGTGTATGCTTAATTTCTAGTTGGTCCTTATCATAACCTCAAGGGTCTCACTAGATTACTTAAGGGTCTCACTACATTTATCGGCGATTTCTAGAAAGTTCTTGAAAAACCTTAAAAGTGTGGTTTTGAACTATATCCAGTCGTTTCCTTTCCTCCATTTCTGTCATTTGTGACCTGTTTCTTTGTCTCCGCATTTTTTATGCTTCCCTGTGTTGATAGAGTGGCTTTGTGTGCTAGGTGTCCTATAGGGTCCAGTGGCTCAGCCTCCCCAATTACGTGAGGTGGACACTCTTGGTGCACCCCTTTGTGGGCTTTGTGCACAGTCTTGTAGTTAAGCCTTGATTGTTGTTGTCACTGGGAGGAATTGACCTCCAGGCCAATTGGCTGTGAGAATCAACTGTGTCTATGGTGGGAGAACTTCTGTGCTGAAGACACCCTTATGAAGCAAGACTTGCTTCAGTGGGGCTTTGGTGCTCACTGAGTCTGCCCCCTGAGTGTGTCCCTTATGGATCTGAGGAGTTGTAATTGGATGGTCCCACTCTGACCACTCGGTACACTGGCTCTTGGATCTAAGGAGGTGCTAATGTAGCCTCTTCCTGAGGCTACCCAGCAGGAGCTACGAAGAGATCTTCAGATTCCCCTTCCTTGTTTGGGGTTTGGAGGTGCCCAAATGAGGCGTATTCATTTGTTTTTGTTGTTGTTATTTTTAGATTTCACATGTAAATGAAATAATATGGTATTTGTCTTTCTCTATCTGACTTATTTCATTTAGCATAATACCATCTAGGTCCATGCATGCTGTCACAATGGCAATATTTTATTCTTTTCTATTGCTGAGTAATATTCCATTGTATATATGTACCACAACTTTTTTATCCATTTATCTATCAATTGGTTGCTTCCATATCTTGGCTACCATAAATAATACTGCAGTAAACATAGGGTTGCACATATCTTTTTGAATTAGTGTTTTTGTTTTCCTCAGATAAATACTCAGAAGTGGAATTGTTGGGTCATATTGCAGCTCTAATTTTAATTTTTTTAAGAACCTCCATACTGTTTTCCACAGTGGCTGCAACAATTTACAATTCCACCAACAGTGCACAAGCATTCCCCTTTCTCCACATCCTTGCCAACACTTGTTGTTTGTTGATCTTTTTTTTAATGGCAACCATTCTAACAGGTGTGAAATGATATCTTGTTGTGATTTTATTTTGCATTTCCTTAATGATTAGTGATGTTGAGCATCTTTTCATATGTCTGTTGGCTATCTATATGTCCTCATTGGAAAAGTGTCTAGTTAGGTCCTTTACACATTATTTAATTAGATTTTTTTTTTTTTGAGTTAAGTTGTCTGAGTTCCTTATATATTTTGGATACTAACCCCCTGTCAAGTGTATCATTTGTGAATATGTTCTCCCACTCAGTAGGTTGCCTTTTCCTCTTGGTGATGGTTTCCTTTGCTGTGCAAAAACTTTTTAGTTTAATATAGTTTAATGTGTTTACTCTTTCTTTTGTTATCCTTGCCCAAGGAGATAAATCAGAAAATAATATTACTAAGATAAATGTCACATAGTTTACTGCCAGTTTTCTTAGAAGAGTTTTATGATTTCAAATCTTATATTTAAGTATTTAAATCATTTTTACTTTTTTAATATGGTGTAAGAAAATGGCCAAAACCGGTTTAGCTCGGGGGATAGAGCGTCGGCCTGCGGACTGAAGGGTCCCAGGTTCGATTCTGGTCAAGGGCATGTACCTTGGTTGCGGGCACATCCCCAGTAGGGAGTGTGCAGGAGGCAGCTGGTCGATGTTTCTCTCTCATCGATGTTTCTAACTCTCTATCTCTCTCCTTTCCTCTCTGTAAAAAATCAATAAAAATATATTTTTTAAAAAAAGAAAGAAAATGATACAGCCTTATTTTTGCATGTCTCTGTCCAGTTTTCTCAACATAACTTATTGAAAAGACTATCCTTACCCCCTTGTATATCCTTGCCTTCTTTGTCATAATTAACCATATAAGCAAGGATGAAATCCAAGAATTTAAAAGTAGATGGAAAAGATCACTTGTTTCAGTTAGAAGAATCCAAATATTTCTGTCAAACAAAAACATCTACTTGGCGCTTTTTAAATTTTCCCAGAAATGCAGTATGATTCTTAGGAGTGTTAGCCAATGTTGCTCTGTGCTTATGCAAAATGCTACATGATTGAAATAACTGATTTGTCATGGCCTTCTTTGACCATCTCATTTGACAAATTTGGTCTTTGCTGAGGACAAGAACCTTTGCCATTATGGTGGAAAAATGTTACATTACCCATTTTGGGGTGTGTGGGGATTTATTAGGCTTCAGCATAATTCCTCCTCTCTTGTTCCCCCCAAAATATGCCCACTCATGTGTAAGTGCTAGTTAAGAAGACATTGTAGCTTTTAAGGTGAGTTTCTTTATCTATAAAATTAGGATGATTTTATCAGTCCTACCTCATCCTGAGAATTATAAGGACTTTAAAATAAGACAAATCCTATTAAAGTAAAACACCTGTTTGTAAAGATTTCTATGTCCCAGTCTATGGCCACATATTACAGGTAGTATTTTATAAGATAAAATTTCTAGTTCAATAAAGCACGCCCTCAATTTTAGCTTACCATTTGACATGTGAATGGGATGGGATAGGTATCTGAAAACACGGAGATAATGCCAATTTTAATTTTATTCAGCCATTAAAAACACCTCCCCTGTGGCCTCTTTTTTTTTTTTTAACCATAGTTACTAACAAGTAGAAGTATTTTTTTCTTCTCTTCTGATGTATTTGTTAATGTATAATAAAATGACCAAAAATCTGAAGGCAGAGAGCAACTTATGATGACAGACAGCTACCCCAGGCATTCTTAAGTAATTGCATAGCAGGACACTACTAGGGAAGATTTCTTACATGTGCAGTGGCCCAGGTGAAACTCCATCAGCCTTTCATGTGATGGACATCAGGCCTCAGTATTCAAATTAGTTCTTTGGAGAGATCATATGACTGAGGTAGTAAAATTTTTCACAAATGTTAAATTTTCTCTTCAGTGTTGCTTTACAAATTAGAATAAAGCTTTGTTGCTGATAAAGTTGGACTTTGTTTTACTTTCGCTAAATTTTATTTTATTATTCATTTATTTTAATCCTCAGTGGAGGACATGCTCATTAATTGATTCTAGAGAAAGGGAAAGGGAGAGAGAGACCAAGAGAGAAACATCATAGTGAGAGAGAAACATCAATTGGCTGCCTCTGGTATACACCCTGCCTGGGACTGAATCTGAAACCTAGGTATGTGCCCTGACTGGGAATTGAATGCGAAACCTCTCAGTGCATGGGTCAACGCTCCAACCAACTGAACCACATTGGCCAGGGCTTGCTAAGTTTTATTTTGAATGCAAGACTCCTCATCTCTATCCCCACCCCACCCCTGCCTCCATCACCCCAATGTATCAGAACTACTTCACTGCTCCTAAATGCACAGCCCACTCAAATTTAGATTTTGTTATGGAATTTCAAAATGAGAATATACCATGTTTATCTATAAGTGCTTCCCCCCCACACCACCTTCCAGAATTTTATTATCTGTTTATCTATGTGGTATTATAGTACCTATCATCATGAAGTGTCTTTATCTCAGTTTAAAGATGGGCATTTCAGCTAACATCTTTTCAGTGGGCTTTTGGGGCACTGGCTAAGAAATCAGCAGCTCAAAACTAAGTCAGGGAACAGAATGCTATGTCCACTAGATGAATTATGTTCCAATTCACAATGTAATCCCAGGCACAGATAGTGTTCCATTAACTTCCATATATCCTCTTAATGTGCGTGTGGAGGAAAGACTGCCTCAGGGCTGCAGTGAGGAAAATCTGGGAAGGTTTGGTGACGCCACATAATGGTATTAGAAGGCCAGACATTAGCACATCTTTAAGGGGGTGGTCACATGTGAAATATCCCCTGGGGCAGGCTTAGTGACTTCTTTTCACCTAAACATTGCCCACAGGAGCCAGGATTCCAGCTCCTCAGACAACCTCTCTGTTCTCTAGACCTGGCGGCAGTGTGGTAGCCCTGTCGCATGTGGTCCTGAGCACTTGAATGTGGCTCATCCCAACTGAGATGGGCCATACGTGCAAAACACACACCAGAGCTCAAGGCGTAGTACAAAAACAATCTAAAATTTCTCAATTTTTATATCAATTACCTGTTTAAATGATATTTTGGGTCTATTCGGTGAAATAAAATATAGCATTAAAATTAATTTCCCCTGTTTCTTTTTATTTGGTTTAACGTGGCTACTGGAAAATGTAAAATAATATTATGTGGCTCATTTTTAATGGACCCAGATGCTTCATGACCTGAGGAAGGGGCTCATGTTCTTCAGAATTCTCTTCCACTCTGTCTTTGGCCCCTAACTTCAGCAGTGGGGCTCTGGAGTGCAGGCACGTTCTGTGGACGTGTCCCCAAGTACCTGGCCCTGAGGGGCTGGTCAGTGCCCAGGCCTATGTGATTTGAGGCCTCCCAGATGCTCAGCCTCTTCCCCACCTCTCACCAGCTGCAGTGCACCCTTTCCAGAGTCACCATATGTGACCGTCCACCTCATTCTCAGTGGGGAAGAAGACCTCTTTGCTCACAGGCGGTCCCTATCAGAGTCAGCTCCCGGTGAGGCTGGTGCAGCGCAATAGTGGTGCTCAGCTGTTAACATCCTCTCGTCCCACTGGATGGTGTTCTGGGTAAGAAATCAGAAGGCACTGGCTCTTGGGACTCCGCTGGCGTTAGTCTGATGGGCACTTAGTGCAGTGAATCACGTTTGAGGAACAGCAAACTCCTCTTCCCAAATGCAAAGACCGCCCTATTGGTTTGCAGTGTCAGAGTCGGGGTGCTCTAGATGCTGCCTCGGTTGTCACAGTGGTGGCTTCATGCAGTAAATATGTTGTAGTTGAGCAGGTGTGAGGAAGAGGTGCTGCTGGAGACACTGGAATCTGTGTGGGCTCATAATACAGTTCTCCAGATGACTTGAGAAGTGATTGTAATATTTCTTATAACTATCAAATTGTACCATCCTTCCAGATTTCTTATGTATTCTCTCCTAAAAAGTTAGAAAACCTTTGAGCTGCTGTGGCAGGAATTTCTGACCATAGGAGGCAGATGTGTGAGCTTCAGGTTTGCCTGGACCCAGAGATCTGTGACTCCCAGGTCGTCACAGTCAGCATCACCGGCTGCAGCACTAAGGACAGGTTAGGGCTGCTGCTTGCTGTTTTGTTTTTTTTGTGGTGTCCCGTCTGGGAAATCTAGGACATCTGGGCCCAGTTTGGGATTTTCCAGTGTGGGCTACAGAATGGGTCCATGGGTGGCCCAGACTCATACCTATGTGTGGAAAGGCCCAGAAGATTTGTGCTAACAGGCCTGTGTCCAGCCCTGGGCTGGCTGGTGGCAGTCAGAGGCAGGAGGCCAAACAGTCAGGATTTCAGGGTCCTCAACCTTTCCGGTGACAGCATTCAGTCATGAAGATGCACACAGCAAAGCAAACTTTCCTTAGAATTGTAATTTACCAAAAAATTTATATAATCCTTGGTATCAGCCAAGCACACCACTGCTGGTTAACAGGCATCACATTTAAGGTTAGTTATATTTCATTATGAACAGCAGGAAGAGACCATCAAAATATTAAGCAACTCACATTTTTCCATTGGTGATCATACATGTCCTTTTAAAACAGCTTTATGATGATAGTTTTTCACTCAGTGAAAACAAGATTGTTGAAATAGATTTTGCTCCCTAAACATATTTATCTGTGGTCTGAGGATCAAACAGGAAACAGACCAGTTGAATATTCCACTAATTTTCTTTTCTATCTTTTTTTTTTTACAGATTCGTATGACCCTAGCAGAGTGGAGCGGGTGTGACGAGATGCCAGTGAAGTGCATCCACCGTAGTTGCAAATTGAGTGTTCTGTATCAGCTGGAAACTGCTGGCTGCTAGTGCTCTGTGGTATCACTACCCCTGCTACCAGGAGACTCGTCATGCCTTCAGAATCGCTTTGTGGAAGTAAAGAAGTAGTCCATTGAAACTCTCTGTTTTTACAAATGAAGAATTAATACCTGTGTTTAGAAGAGTCACATGGACTCTCCTGCATGATGGATTTAGCCAAACTGGTAAAATGTTTGGTGTTAATCTGCTTCTGTGACAATTTGAACATGGACAATAGAGTGAATGATTTTTGAAATGACTGTGAATGTCATAAAGTCCCTTTCACATCTCCAGGGCCTATGGTCCATGCTCATGTAAAGGAATTTGGGACAGCGTTTCTGCACTTTGAGTTTAGGGGAAATGTGAATGACTATATCTGATCCATTTCTAATCAATTTGGCCTTCTGCTGCTGGAAGTAACTTCACTTATAAGTAACTTGCCATCAGAGACTAAAAGCAATATCTTTTTAAGTTCCTAAAAGATTAAAACTTACTATAACGTACTAAGAATATTATTTATCTTGTAATGAAACATTTTGCTCGTTTGCAAACATGCCATGTCTGCTTTGCACTCAGTATTATCTATTTTTATTTTCTGTATGGACGTTTAGAAATTCTTTATATGAAAAAAAATTGCTGGTTTAAAATAGACCATTTTAACAAAGTAACTATATTTCTTTTTACAAAAATGCTATTTTTCTATGATGTAAACAGTTGTTAGGTGGCAGATTTTTAAGGGAGTTTTATTTTATTTAAGAATCTGTATCCCTTTGTGTGAGAGAGACCCAAAGAGGGTTCACATCTGCTTTAAAGCACATATCCCTTACCCACTCACAACTTGGCTATTTTTATTTTATCTTAGAAAGAGATCTCAATATAGACATTTTACAGGATTAAATAAACTTTTCACAAAAGTTTTTTTTTTTTACAAATATAACTATAAGGTTATATGTGAAAATAATCCTCTCAAAACCAGCCAATGTCCACAATTTTTGCTGCCATATCCACTAGAATTACCAAAAAGTGTAGTTTCATTTTTGTATGTCTATGGGGGTCTGCCCTGATACCATGCTTTTCTCCCCCCACCCTTTAAAAATATGTATTTTTATCTAGAATGATCCTTACTTAATCTCTGCATATTTTAAAAATGTGCTAGAGACATATATATGCCATTACAAAAGTATTATGAGGCCTATGTATTCTACTGTGTTTACTATTGCATTATCCTGCACAAAGTTTATGCATTTTTATGCATTTGTCCCTTCTTTCTAAGTAAGGTAGGTATTCTTGTTAGCTAACATTTCCTGAATGGATTCTTGTCTCCTCCCTTCTTCCCTTTCTCCTTCCCTCCCTTTTCCTCCCTTCCTTCTTTTTCTTTTTCTTTTTAAATATCGAGAGAGAGAGAGAGAGAGAGAGAGAGAGAGAGAGAGAGAGAGAGAGAGAGAGATGGAGAAACATCAATGAGAGAGAAACATCATCAATCAGCTGCCTCCTGCACACCCCCTACTGGGGATCAAGGCCACAACCTGGGAATGTGCCCTGACCGGAATGGAACTGGTGACCCAGCAGTCTCTTAGTTCCTGGTTTGATGCTCAGCCGTTAAGCCATACCAGTCAGGGGCATGGGGCTTTTTTTCCTTCTTTCCTTTTCTCCGCCCCCCCCCCCCTTTGTGTGTGTGTTTTTTTTGTTTGTTTGTTTTGTTTTGAGAAACCACCTGACCTATTTTTAGACATTTCAGATTCCTAAAATGTGAATTGTTGGGTGGTCTACAATTTGGCCCTAAAACAATTCTGACTGGGCTTTCCTGGCCTGTTTTTATCTGTAACATAAGATTTTATTTCGTAAGAACTTCATGTATTTGGACTGTAATAAACAATACAGGATCTAAATAATTCTGAAAAATCATTTCGAATACACTTATTTGTAGTCTTGGTTCCTACCTATTACTCATAGCCACTTCTTTCCTGATTTGGGGCTTTTGTGAAAAGTTGTAGTAGGCTCTTGTTTTCACAACACAAAGAGAAGGGCCGAGTGTCTGCTAGGCATAGCTTAGATTGTTTTTCCCAGGAAAAATTTAGTGAGTAAGAGGTTTATTACTCTGTCATGGTCAGTGAATCACTTAAGCAATCTGGTAGAACTAAATGAGGCCGGTTACATGTTTCCCTCTTTAAATGCAAGTGAAATGCATATATCTGCATACGTTTATATATACATTTGTTTATATATACATATGTTTATATATATACATATATATAAACATATGCAGATATATATGTACATATACATATAGACACATACATATATACATACATATATTTGAACTGTGTTCTGACTTCCTTCTAAATTTTGTTGATCCCATATAAAGACTTCTTTTAATGAAAAGAATTAAATTTTAGTTTATTCCTCACGAGAAAGAGAAGAATACTAAAGAGAAAAAAAATTAATGTACCTTATGTTTGATACTTTTATTTTGTTTTCTAAATTATTATAGTTTTCTGAAACCATTCTGAATTTAGTTGAAATTATCAATATTTATACTTCTAACTTTAATTTCTGGATTCCAGCTTGAATATAGTAACTTTGAAAATTTGACTTTTGAACTTGTGTATTCTAAGATAAATAATACAGTCTAATCAGAAATAGCTTTCCCAGAGGTTTTGAATTTAATGATAGTTATTCTTTATTACTTCTATTGCTCATACATATATACCTCTTTGTTATTAGTTGTGGCTGAATAACTAATGTATTTTGTGTTTGTCACTGTTTTTCTCATATGTTTGACTAACTTTTGGTGTTTAATAATTTAGGGCTTATAAAATTAAATTAAAAGTTCTAATTTTGACCATTTGAACTAAAAATTATATGAGGAATTATGTATGAAATGTATTTGTATTTCTTAATGGTAAAAGTAGGGGAAATATTGGTATATAGCTCTAATTACTTCTTTAAAGAAAATTTCTGAATGATTGAAAACCAAATATCTTTATTAACATTTTCAATCTTTTGTTTCTGCAAACCCCAGAAAATTTCTTAAAAGAAGTACAGCCCCTGACTGCAGGTTCAGAATCCTTTTCCATGTTGTTTCTAACTATTTGGGTTTCTTTTTTAAAAGTCACTTTAAAATGTGTCTACTCTGAGATCCTGGTGTCCATACTAGAAATGTAGGTTGAGGTTTTGATTCATTTGGAAAATCTAAGTAGAAATTTTGCTACTCAAAAGTTCTGACTGTTGGTGAAAGGTTGGTGTTAATGCAAGTTCAAGTGCATAAACTCCAATGATTGTAAAACTAGACCCTGACCATTTTTTTGACAGTAAAAGGACTTACTCTGATAGAAGTTTGGTTTAAGGGCTTCTGAGCAGAAATGCTGAGCCCTATCCACGACTGACACAACTACTTCCCAGCTCTGAGCAGAAGAGACCGATGGAAGATAAGATTAACCCACCTTTCATCTGGTCCCCAAGGATTATGTTTATGTGTTTTGGCTATTTTGTTGTTTTGTTTTGTTTAAAATGGTTAAATAATACACAGTTAAGTATCAGGTTAGCATCTTGCAAACTGACCAGTGCAGCAGAATTATCTCTAAATATCTGAGCTTAGAGAAACACTTCCAGTTTTCTAAGTTTTTGTAGGCAGTTACTTTTGTGTTTGGGCCATTGTTCTGCTAGATCATCTGCGGGAGGCATGAAGTGTAAGGGATGGAGTGAGGGATGGGAGTATGTTTCTTGAACTGAAGCTGTTAGAGTAGGCTTAGGGGGGAGATGCATTTTCTGTTATGCTTTTCATTGCAGATTCTGTACATCTGTTTGTGGGAGGAGAGCTGCTACTCAGGACAGGATTTAAGAGACACATTCCAAGTGACCTTTAAGAATCTGCATGGTGGGAGGTCCTTTTCCCAAACTCTGGTTTGGTCCACTGTGGGACTCACCCAGGGAAGATGATAAAATAACATTAAAGAAAGAATGGTCCCAGCCTGCATATTAAGGAGTGATTAAGACTGCAACTCAGATTAAAGTCCTTTGGACAGATCTGTATGGTCTAGCAAACTGCCCGTGGAAACAATCCTTAAGTTCATCAGCAGTGCCACGAGATGGGCAGTGCAGCGAGGTGGGCAGAGTGTGCGTGTGCGCACATTCCTGGCTTTGACTTTTGAGAGCCCCTGTCAAAGCTGTGTTTAGTACAGGGGACAAGAAGGACCTTGTGCTGTGGCCTCTGACTGAAACTTTAACCCAAAGGCAAGTCTGGCTATTTGTCCCAATGCCTTCATTTGGGGTGAGGAGGAGCGCTCCCCCAACTAGTCCCTTTCCCCTGTGGAAGCCAGAGGGGCAGCTGAATGTCTTCAAGGAGCTTTTGTATTTCTCTGCATAATGTAAAGACTTGTTATTTCAGGATGACTGACCTGCTCAGTGACACACATGTTCCAAATAAAGATTTTGCATGAAAGTACCTATGTTCATTGTCTTTGGCTGTGGATGCCAGAGCTGCCCTGTAAGCCTTAAAGGCTGGTCCCCAGAGGGCAGCAAGCTGCACTGAGCATGGCTCAGATGGTGTAGGTAGCAAAGGGACAGGTGGCCCAAGATGTCCCAGCACCTTTAGTCTCCACCAAATACTAGTATTTCCTGGGTGTTGAAGCTCCTCTTCACATTTTTCACAAAGGCTTGCTGACGTGGGGACTTGGTTTTCATTTCGAGTCCATCACTAACCATGTGGCCTTGCACCCTTCTCTACCCCAAATTCTGTTTTCCAATCTAACCTCTCTTACTCTTTGACTATAAGAATCAAATACATAGAAAAGTGCCGGAGTCTTTTCCGCATCTACAAGGGTTCAGGAATCTGGAGAAGGGCTGTGCATAAATGAATGACAAGACTAGAGAAGAAATATGAATTTGGAAGGCATTTTGGGGTGCCAGAGGGAAACTTAGTTCTAGTGACTAAGTTCTCCAAATCTCCAGACCCCTGGCTTTTTTTTCCCACATTTTGCCCTATAGCAAAGCAGATATACATATCAAAGTTAAAGTATTATCAAGTTGGGGGAACTGCCCTCAGCTGTCTGGCAGCAGGCAATAATATATGCAGATCTTCAGCCCTGCTGAAGCCCCAAGGTTCATCAGCCTTCTGATGAACTTCTTGCATAATTATCACCTGCTGGAATTTGCTTCCAGCAGAAAAGCCCCTGGCACACTGTGGCATTCCATGCATGGAAAGTGAATGCAGACATGTACTTTATGGGGAACAGAGTAAATAAATGTGTGTCTGGCAGCTTGTAGGTTTTAAATCCAGGCCGGCCTTGGTCTTCGTTCAAAGATCCATCTCATTTCTAGTATTGGGATTCTAGAAGCAGAAGCACATGCTTTAGATTGGTTTCTAGTAGCTCAATAAACATATAAGCTGTTGTTTCTGAGTTTGGTCCTTCTTTCGAATTTAAGCTCCTTGTCTGTCCCATTAGGTTTGTAGACTGTTGTCCTTGTTCCTTCCTTGGCTCTGAGTGTGTGGGTCTCAACACTTGAGTGTACCAGGGCCCTCGCAGTAGTCTGAAATTTCAGATCATGTTGAGATGTGGGTTTTAAAATAAGAGCTATTCCAAGTTGGTTGATAATTGAATCCATATATTAAAATTTAACTGAAAAAGATCTTGACCAAACCTACGCATCAGAGAACCCAATCCTGGGCCTGGCTCTGTGTTAACTAGCTATGACCCACCACCTCTCCTACTCTTTGGAAGTAGAGAAGAGAGATTGAGCTAACTGGTTTTTTCCAACTTTGAGATTATATAACTGCCCTGGCTGGCATAGCTCAGTGGTTGAGTGTCAGCCTATGAACCAGGAGGTCACAGTTCCATTCCTGGTCAAGGCATATGCTTAGGTTGCTGTCTTGTTCCCCAGTGTGGGGCATGCAAAAGGCAGCTGATCAATCATTCTCTCATCATTGATTTCTCTATCTTTCCCTCTTCCTTCCTCTCTGAAATCAATAAATATGTATTTTTTAAAAGATTATGTAACTATTTCTTGGAAAAATTGGAAGTCCCATAGGGTCTTTTGCCCTGCCTGAAAACTCCAGAACTAAAATGATTTCAAAACTACAGCTACACATGACTGCAGACCGGGTCATGGCCAGGGCAGGAAGCCCTGCCATTACTTTTTTTTTTTAACCAGGGTGTTCTACTTCCCCATTCCACTAATTTATCATGCTCTCTCCTCCACGCCACAGCTATAGAGCAGCCAAGAGGCTGACAATCTTGAATTCTCCCAATATATTATTCTTAGGTTAGAGCAGGGCACTGAGGTGTTTATGAGCCTGGACATCAGCCCAAGACTCACAATTTTGGCTGCTTGGGGTCCTTTTTAAAAAATTCTTACCATTTATTCAACACCTATCATTTGCCAGGTACTGTTAGATACTTTACAATCATGAATCCTAATTCTAAAAACTGTTCTTAAATAGATGGTTAAAGCTGTTTTTTTAAACAAGAAAATGCAGCTCAATAAAGTTTAATGATTCATCTACAGCAGTGGTTCTCAACCTGTGGGTCGCGACCCCTTTGGCTGCCGAAGGACCCTTTCACAGGGGTCGCCTAAGACCATCCTGCATATCAGATATTTACATTACGATTCATAACAGAAAAATTACAGTTATGAAGTAGCAACAAAAATAATTTTATGGTTGGGGTCACAACATGAGGAACTGTATTTAAAGGACCAGAAGGTTGAGAACCACTGATTTAAAGCATCACAGAGATGGTAGGTATTAGAACTAGGTTTAGAAGACAGGTTTTCTTCCACACCACACAACACTTACTATAAGGAAAAGTAGCAGAATAAATTGCTCTTAGTATTTTATCCACCTTTCATTTCATGGCCTAGTATTCTCATATAGCAATATCTATCTTTCATAATATCCTATATAATAAAAGCCTAATATGCAAATTGCCCCCTCAGGCAGTCATTTGACTGGGAGTTCGACCAGAAGACTGGGAGTTTGACCACTCGCTATGACGTGCGCTGACCACCAGGGGGTGGTGCAGAACATGGTGGGCGTTGGCCATGCGGGGCTGGCAGGGGGAAGGAGTGGAGGCACTGCCAGCCCCCATGGGCATTGACGAGAGTGGGACCACAGCAGGATGGTAGAGCAGGTGAGTGGGTGGCGCCAGGCCAAGGTGGGTGCGAGCAGGGGCCCAATTGCCCCGCCGATTGCCCTGCAGATGGTGACCAGGGGAAGCCGTGGGGGGTGGGGCTGCTGCTCGGATCCCAGGCACTGAGAAAGCTGGGCAGGGGGCCCTGTGGGCGGGATGGTGGAACAGGTGAAGGGGTGGCACCAGACCAAGGCGGGGTGCCAGGCGGTGCTGCGGGGCTCCAAGGCTGGGGGCACGAGCTGGGGCTGTGAGGCTGGGGACGCAAGTGGGGGCCCAATCTCCACAAGCCAGCCCGAGGGACCCCACCCATGCATGAATTCGTGCACTAGACCTCCAGTTAATAAATAAATATGAAAACCGGTTGTATTCTTACCATGAGTTTGGAAAGCAGTGTTATCACAAATAACAATAATAAGCTATTCTTGTCCTCAATTAGTACCTTTTACTGAAAATAAGAAGCCCTCTGATTGAAATATAAAACACAATATTCTATTTAGTAACAAACACCCAAAACACCATTTTTTTTTTACCCATTTCTGAATCCAGCCTGCATTTTTTCCATAATAGGAAGAATATTAAACTAACAAGTTCCTGGAGAGATCACAGTGTTGACAAAATTCAATATGATGGTGGAGTCTTCAAAGACACAGGAAACAAAGGTTGGCCCTTCCACACAGCCATAAGTCCGTGGGATGATTTCATTTTAAGTTAATGTTTCTTCAAGTCACACATATTCCCCAATGTCTGCTTAATGAAATACCACAATCACCATGGGGTCTACTTTCCTGCAGTCTTGTGTAGACTTTGCTGCCACCTCAAAACCCAAAGGGCGGTCTGCAATGGAGTACACCACCACTCCCCATACTGAGAAGTATTTTCAGTGTTTCAATCTAGATTTTAACACATGGTTCGTATACCGGAAGGACTGCTCTGCTTCAGCTTTATCCACACTTTGTACTTGGCATAGGGTGTGAGGTAATCCAGAGCTGTGATGTGCAACTGGAATTTGTGAGTCTTTCCCAAGCAGGTCCCCAGCAACATCAGCTTGTCACCAGAGATGTTGGCAGCCAACTTCAAGATCTTTTCACTCACACAGTACACCCAGTAGGAGTGCAGCATGAAACAGTAGGTGCCATCAGGCCTATTGTCCAGCAGCTCAAGATTCTCCCTGATGTATTTTGCTATCTTCTCAAACATGACATGGGCCCCATTTTCCCACTGTTGGAAAACCAGATCCTGCTTAGGATCCTTTTAAATGCACTTAGTTTCAGAGATGTTTGAGTCTCATCAGGTAAGCTTCTACCTCACAAATAAATCTTGCCCCAGGCTGTCAACTTGTATTTATTTCACAGGCTGGAAATGCTGTCGGTCACTCCACTGCTTAGAATTTTGGGGACAACAGCTCCATGGAAAGCTAAGTACCAGCCTTTCAGTCCCAACTAGCCACTGGTGTGGATTCAGCTGGAGAACCCAGCTCTTCTCTGAGCTATGGGAGGTTTGTACCTGATCACAGAGGCTCCATTTACTGTTTCTTCTCCTGGCTGCCTTTCTCTCTTCTGTGCTTCCTGCTGCATTAACTGGATGTTTTTACCTTCCTCAACCACACTGCTGCATTTCCAAGATTATGATAGCAGGGTCAGCTTCTGGAGAAATAAACCCAAATGTGCATTTATCTAGAGTTTCTTTGGGGTATTTAAAACCAGTTATCAACATAGGGATGAGAGGAAAACAAGGACATTAATATTGTTGGGTCCCTCCTATGTGCCAGGTATGTTGTATGCATTGATTTATTTAATACACATCATTTCACAAAAGACAACGGGTACAGAGAAGAATAATTCCTTACAGAGGCAACAAGCAGCAAAGCAGGGATTCAAACCTATTTCAATGCCCCAAAGTCCATGCTGTTTATCTTAGCTTACTGTACCTCAGGAGAATGAGAGAATGATCCTCCAGTGAGTCAGAAAAGTCAAAGGTAACAGCTTATACAGTGGGGCCTTGACTTACGAGTGTCCCAACTAACGAGTTTTTTGAGATACCAGCTGTCTCTCCAACGATTTTTTGCATTGAGTTGACAGAGTAATTTGAGTTAACAAGCTCCTTAACGAGCTCCTTAACGAGCTCGGTCTCAGAACGAATTAAACTCGTAGTCAAGACCCCACTGTAATATTAAATGAATTTGTTAAGATTGGGTTCAGCTGTTTATGTCAGAAAATTGGAAACAATCATGACTTAAACATGATGAAAGCTATTTCCCTTACACTTCAAAGGAATCCAGAGGCAGGCAGTCCAGCATATTAGCGCCATAGCAATTGGGGAGCCGCCTCCTTGTATCTTTCTGTTCCAGCATTCTCACATAGTGCCTTCCATCCTCAAGGAAACCTCATGGTCCAAGATAGCTTCTAGAGTGCCAACCATCTTAGACACTTTCCAGGTAGCAGAAAGGAGGAAGAATTCTCCTTAGCTTCCTTTAAAGAGACTTCCAGGACTATTCTACACTTTTCTGCTTATATTCCATTTGCTGGAACTTGACCCATGGTCAAACTAGCTGCAAGGGAGGCTGGAAAATGTAGTCATTTAAAGTGGACACCATTGTGAGTCTGAATAAAAATCAAAATTCTATGACTAATAAAGAGAGTGATGATAGTTATGGACTGGCAACCAGCAGTCAATGCCACACTTAAACTACCTCAAGGCATTAGCCTCAGGGGTCTGGATGCTCACCAACCAGGAATGCCTCCTATGTCTCTGTGGAAGGCTTTGTGATGGGAGCCTCTCAGGTAACAATGAAGAATTTGTCTCACCAGAGACTAAGGATGTTGTTCCATAGGGGGAGTTTTTAACAGTGCCTCCTTTCCCAAGAGGGAGCAGCCACGAGGCCAAAAGGGCCAGCTGTGAAGAGCCACCTCAGCAGACCAATCTTAGGGTCTATCAATTGCAAACCCTTGTTTTCCTGGGTGAATCACCTTCAGCAGAAAAAATGATTTTACTACATTGGTGCCCATGGTAAACAAAAACAGTGTGAGGGGAATGGCAAATGGAAGTTTAGATGCCAAGTTTCTGGGTTCTGGGAACGGCAGACTTTGTTCACCCCTGTCTGTTCTCCTATGGACACTCATTGCACCTTCTTCAGAGGCAGAGATGTGGATTCTGGGTTGTCTACATCAGGGGTCCCAATAATCTTCAGGAGAAAACCTCAGGGTGATAGGACCAGCAACTGCAGAAATGGAGGGAGCAGCACAAGTACCTGCATCCTCACTGGAAAGGCTATGCCACTGCCTTCCTGCCTGAGATTAGACCCTGTCCACCTTGGCCACCCTGCAGTTTACCACAAGGGAACCAGAACTAACTCTGAGCAGTTCAGATAGCAGGTATTACCACTGAATATTTTGCATTTCTAATTATTTTCTTTCACGTCAGCCGCAGTGGAAGAGTTCTGAACTCACTTTCCTGGTTTGTTGAGATTTTTATTTGTAGAGTTATTTTTTGTTGAAGAAAATACAACCCAGAAACACTTTTTAATTTTTTGTCAGACTTTGTGACTAAAGTAAAAAATGAAACAGAAACCACAAGAAAACATTTAAAGATGTCAGGGGGGAAATGTTGCCACGGATGGCATGTTCATGCACCATAAATTAGCATGGCATAAAATACTATGCCCCTGGTGGGTCTCTCTCTGAGAGGGAGCAAAAGAGTTCACTTCTGAAAGGGTGGGTGTGCTAAGCTAAGTCGGAGGGGATGTTGGGAAAGTGGGGAAAGACAACTACTAAATTTCAACAAACCTTGAAGACATGTCATTATTTGTTTTATTATTAAAAAGGAAGAAAATGCTATTAATTATATTATTTCTTGCCTTGGGTTCAGAGCTGTTAAGATGTGAAAAAGAGGGTTGCCCATACAGCTGGTGAAGTACAGTAACTAACCTTCATTCCTCACTCTCTGGGGTTCCACAAGCACACCTCCCCCTGGGGGCACTGCTCAGCTGGTTCTGGAATGACCTGTGATCCAGGAGTTCCTGACCATCTGCACAGGCAGCAGAGATGTTTGGGCTGTGGCTTTGAAACTTGGGTGTGTATTCCAATGCCTGGAACTTGTTAAAAGAGAAAAGGAGGCTGATTTAGTATGTCTGGCAAGGGAACTAAAACACTTATTTTTTAACTAGGACATCACATGATTTCAATGCACTCAGTCCCATAGACACTTAGGGAAATTCTCTGGAGTCTTCAGAAGTGTTTCAATAGACCAGAAACCAGAGCTTCTGTCAGTCCTTCCTGGCTCAGAGTACCCCTGCATGCTCATGCCTCTCACTGGCTGGCCTTAGCCTTCTCTCCTTTTGACAACATCCATTCATCCTTCAGGTCTCACTTAAGTCTCAGGTTTTGCAGCAGCTTCCCTGACCAACCAGGTGAGCTTGGTATTTAGGTCTAAATGTGATCCCCCCAAATTTATATGTTGAAATGTAACACCCAAGGTGAAAGTGTTGGGAGGTAGGGCCTTTGGATGGTGATTAGATCAGGAAGGTAAAACCCTAATGAATGGGATTAGTACCCTTATAAAAGAGACTCCAGAGAGTCTAAGATGGTGGCAGATTAGGTGGAAGCTACACTGACCTTCTGGTACCAAACTGGAATTCCAACTAAAATATAGAAAAATCATCCTGAATAACCAACTGAAGACTAGCTGGAGAGAAGCCTTATAACCAAGGGCATAGAGAGGAGGCCAAATCAAGACTGGAAGAAAGTGTGGAGATGTGAAAGCACTGGCTATACTCCCACAGGCAGCAGCAGAAATTCCAGAGAGATATCTCATCTGGGGGGGTCCCCCTGAAAAGTCTGGAGTTTAAACCCCAAACCTGGAACCCCAGCCCACAACTCTATAACTGGGAAAGGTGCCCACATAACATCTGGCTGTGAAAAGTGAAAGGGCGAGGGCTACTCCCTCCATCTTACCCTAACAGCCATGTGCTCAGCAGGGCTTCTTCCCGGAAGCCCAGGCCTCTGCTAGCCACACCCAGGATTTCTTTGAACTAGCCAGTGACAGTCAAGGGAGGTGTGCGCCATGGATATGACCACATCCTGTGTGGCAGGACCTGACTTGTGCCTGGCCAATCGGCAGGACCAACGGTCACCTCTCCTCCCCTTACACCACCCCCCTATAAAACTCCTTCCCACCGGGCTAGCCCCCTCTCTGCCACTTGGCTTACCGTTGGGTCGGTGAGTGTGGTCGGGGAGCCGAACTAGTTCGAATAAAGACTCTCTGCTTTTGCATTGGATTAGGCTGGCTCCCTGGTGTGGTCTTTTGGGGATCCTGAAATCTGGGCATAACAAAAAGTAGCAGGGTTTTTGTCTATTAGGGATAGATGGCTAGAAATGCAGGCACCCTCTTAAAAGACCAACACATAAAATTTCATTTGCAGCTGCTCACCTAGGGCCCCAGCAGAGGAAGGGCAGAGTAGACTAGAGCTGTGTGAGGAGACTATAGGGTTGGTGTCTCTGGGGAAAGAGCTGTGAGGACAGTCACCTGGATCCCTGTGCTGAGTCATTCTCCCATAGAGCAGAAGCCATCTTTCTCAGGCAGACCTTTCCCATATATGCAGCATTAGCCTAGGGGAAGCAAAAAGCCTTACTCTTTGGATTCCTTCTTGCCCCACCCTGTGGAGCTTAGCCCTGACTATAGCCAGAGGTTCATTAAGTGGCTGAGGCTAATAGACAGCTTGCAGGCAGAGGCAGGTCCCTGGGTGTTTTGAGTCTTTGCCTGACCTGCTCCTGGGCCTGGGGCTAGTAAAATCAGATCTTGGTGCACAGCTTGTTTCTTTCCACATGCACCCAGGCCCAGCAGAGGAAGCCACAAGCTGTGGATCACTGATAGCTCCAAACAGGTGCTCAAGGCCAATCAAAGACAGTGTCTGACAATGGCCTGCACCAGAGTCCCGCCAAGAGGCCCAGAACCAGTAAACCCAGTGGCTAGCTTCAGACAACAACAGAGCAGGATCCAATAAGCTTCATAAGCAGCATATCCACAGGGAGATATTGGCAGGCACCAAATCCTACTGAGGTGAATTCTGTTTCATGTTATCAGCACCTGCACAGCAGCCTGCATGCTGTATTGGGGGTTAAGCCTCACCATCAGCCAGCCTGAAGGTTGAGCCCACACACAAGTGGGCCAATAGCAATCAAAACTCAGTTACAAAAGGAGGG